TAAACATCATTGTTTCTTATAATGCACTGCACAAACTTGGAAAATTCACTTTCTTGATAACTTCACGAAAGTTTAGAAATTTTTTCTAACAATAGGTTGTAAGTTACAATGCCCGAGTCATGTTTTCTTGTTTTTTGGATACCACTAAATCACAGTGCAGTATCATCAAAGTATATTGAATTTTACAGAGCTTACTTTATAGGCAAAAATTGTGAACATAACTCCTTTTCAATAGATACAAAATCTAATAGTAAACTACCCAAAAGAATGGATAATTTATATTGCTTCTTTCAACAAAAGAAGCAATAAAACTATGACTTATGAGAACTAGACTACATTGAGAAATTAAAAGAATCGAGACACTGGAAAGCAACAAAAACAACACTGAATATAGTCAGAAATAAAGGAAACATATCAGTTTTATATATCTATAATTAGATAAATCTTCACATATGTAGGGAATAAACATTTCAGCAGAAAATTCTTAATTAGAAAGCAGCATGATTTGTAAAATAAATATATGAGTACAGTGCATCTAAGATATACAAATAAGCATTTTAAAAGCAGGCTAATAGTTCTTGTCCAAATATAGAGAAATATTTTGGCCATTTAAAAGCGTTAAGATTGTTGGCTAAGACTTTATTTAGTGGGATCTAATGAAACTTTCTCTTCGTGTCTCATTTATCAAATTCAAATTCTTAAGGTATTTATTTCAGAAGCAGATTTCATGTTTCATGACTTTTGCCTTTCATAATTTCAGACATTATTATATCTGCAGTTATGGGGATATAAATATAAAACACGTTAGCTTCCTTTCGGGTTTGGATAGCCGTTAACGGTTTTCTGCGTTTGGGTAGAATTAATTTATTCATTCCCAAATTGGTATGCCTCATTACAAACAGATTCTTCTATGGAATAAAATAACTTATTTGTCTTGTTTCTATGTCTTTTAAAAGTTTATTAAGGATAACTGAATTAATAGTTACAATGCAAGAATGGATATGACCATAAAGAATGGCAAAATCATTACTTTAAAGTTGATTCAATTTTTAAATTTTGCAGTAATAAAAAGAAGAGATAACATTGCAAGTCAAATATTACTATCCTTGTAAAAGTTGTGAGAAACCAATAATGAAATTCTACACTTGTTAGCTAATAGTACGGTACAACCAAACATTTATCAAAATAAAAATGAGGTCCGTATGCAGACAAAATCAACTCTTTATCATAAGGATCATTAGAAACTACAGAGTTCCAAATGAACTCTTGAGGGTAAAGCTCTTAAAATAAAGAATAACATTTTAAGTACATAGCTATTACAAACTTATTCGATATTCATTTTAATTACCATGACTATAATGAATATACTTTGTATTCAAACAGATGTCACAAGTACTACTACAGAAGTTCCAATATAATTCAGTCTTAGTTAAAAACAAGTAAATGGATATTTAAAATTGAGTGTTACCAGGAAGGAGGAAAAAAACCAATTACAGCAAACATTGGCTCCTTCAAACAGCAAGTTAAAGATTTTTATTAAATTGTGTTCTTTCTTATTTGAACATATCCAGAATACAGTAACACAAGAAAGCTTGTGATATCAAACGTCTTTTCCTTGCCTCAGCTGTTCTACAAATTAGTTAGCCTGGAAAATAGAAATTGGGAGTGTGAAAAATGACTCAGAAGGGTAGGTTGAAATTTACTTTACAATATTTAGAGACTGATCTACGAAAAGAATTAAAAAATACTACAATGCCAATTTATTTTAGCTGAAGGAACAGGTAATTATGCGTGCCATTTTATTTCAATTGGTTAGACGAGTTCCAATATTCCCTTCAGTCTTCTCCCACATGGAGGACTGGCACCATCCATGTGGTCCAACACGAGAGCCCTTCACACCGTAAAGATGGTATTTCCCGATGTATGGTCCAGAGAATAACCCACAGACGCTTTCTAAAAGCAAAACTTCCTGGGCCCCGACCAAGCTCTATCAAATCAGAGTTCTGGGGATAAGCTGTGGAATCAGCATTTTGAGAAGCCTGAAAATTCTGACACACCCACTTGTTTAAAAACAACTGCCTGAAGGTTATATGAGATAATATTTAAAACTATATATTTTCATTTCATTCCAATCAGCAGACATTTATTAAGTACCAAGCCTATGTGAATGAAAATTTTGATACATACAGGGTGTTCAAAAGGCAGGGAGCTTCTGACAAACTTATTTTTAAAGTACAATTTATTAAGTACAATAATAATTTACAAATGTCTGGAAACACAAAGAAAATAGTGTGTTTATCGTTTAGATTAACAATTAACTTTTGATTTCAATTTAGTAGTTCTTCCCCTGAAAAGGTGTCTGGAGGCTAAAGAGAAGTGTGTTTAGCTTATGATTGGAAAACAGAAGTATTGCCTAAAAATGAAATTTATCCTACTTTTCCTGATGTTTTGGGCATCCTATGTTTTGAAAATGAGGGTAATAAGTGTGTGAGGTTCCTTAGGGGCCAGGGGGAGACACATGGGGAGTCAATGAGAGAGAGAAAGGAATGAACCACAAGACCAGGAGCACTCAAGACAGTTTCTCTTACCTCCCACCTAATTCTCCTGGTGCCTGAGCTATAAGTGGCACTTATTTAAAAGTCGCATTGTGTTTTTTAACCACCAGAGCAAAAATCGAAAAGTGCAAGTTCACTTGGGAGTTTAATAGAAAAATGGAAAAACTAAAAAAATAAATAAAGCTGATGGTACCAAGTTATTTATCCGGTCAGCAATTTGCCCTCCCCCTAGCCCTACCCAGGATTGGAGACTAATGGGCTGAAATCTTTGAAATGAACTTCAATAAGGAGCCCTCACTCATGAAACTGAGTGCAGAGAAGCTGATGGGATTCATCTCTTGTGCTTAGTGTCCTGGATCTTCTATAATCCTTGGTTGACTTTTCCTAGCACTGGGAACAGGATCCAGTAACAAAAGGCCGTGATAAGTGAAGGTGAACAGAAAAACAGCTGGGCTGTAGGAACCAAGAGTGTTTTCTAGTCCAGCAACATCAGCATCACCTGGGAACTCATTGTCTCAGTCGGCTCAGGCTGCGGTAACAAAATTCCACGGGCTGGGGCCTTCAACTACAGACGTTTATTTTCTCACAGTTCTGGAGGTTGGAAGTCCAAGATCAAGGTGCTGGCCGGTTTGGTTTCTGGTGAGGGCTCTCTTCCTGGCTTGCAAATGGTTGCCTTCTCACCATATCTTCACATGGTGTAGAGAGAGAAAAAGCTCTCTCTTCCTCTTTATGTAAGGCCACCAATCCAATCAGATTAGGAACCCAGTTTATTTAACCTTATTTAACCTTAATTACCTCCTAAAAGGCCTATCTCAAATACAGTCATATTGGGGGTTAGGACTTCAACATATGAATTTTGGAGGGACACAAGTCAGTTCACAGCACTCATTCCAAATGCAAATTCTTGAGCCTTGCCTCAGACCTATGGAATCAGAAACAGGGATGGGCCCAGCAATATGTGTTTTATTAATCTCCCCAGGTTATTCTAATGCATGCTCAAGTCTGAGAAGCACAGGCCTTCAGAGACAAGTCCCAGCTCTGCAGCAAAGCATTCAGTTTCCACCACAGTTTTTCCCGTTTTTACTTTCCAACCTTATTTCTTACTGCTCTTCAACCTGATTTCTGCTTTTGCTGAACTACTTCTCACCATGACCCAAAGGATCATTCATATTCTGTCTTCTAGACTTTTGCTTACCCTCTTTCATCAACCTCGAAGTGTCTTTCTACCTCTTTAATGAAGCATCACCTCAACATCCCAGCCACAAGCATCTCTTTCTCCAAAGAGCAGAGGCACTAATTGTCTGAACCAATCATTTTCACATTTTACAGATTTTACTTTCTTAGAGTCCATGAGTTACACTTGTCTGTAATTTTAGCACAAGGCTTTGCACATAAGAAGCACTCAGATCTTTAGAATATTGTATATCATTTTGCTTATAATTCTTCTCTAAAAGCTACTCCCTATAACATTGGCTCCAATACAATAATGATTTGGGGCATCAGACAGCCTATTGGTCTGTGACATAGCATAATTCCACTTCCAAAGTTGTTTAATATAAACAATTAAGCAATATACTATTTGCCATTTATTAAGTCCTTGAGTATAAAACCCTATAATATTTAGTATATCATGTCATTCAATTCTCACAATCACCCTGAAATAGGCATTATGATCCCTATTTGATTGAAAAAGACACTGGAAACTGAGACAAGTTCAGTTAACTCCCCCAAATGCACATCCCTGGGATGGCAAGGCTGAAAAGCATGAACCTGTGTTTTTCGGACTCAAAGCACATGCTTTTATAAACTGAGAGATTTAGTTTTCTGTCAACACGTTGAATTTACTGTCAAGAACCCCAGAGTGCATGGCTCTTGCAGTAAAGATATTTCCAGAATTTACTTTGGAAACTCCATTTTCTATATCCCTAACACACACACACACACATCCTGAAGTGTTGCTAAAGTAAGCCATCATGAAAAAAGAACTGAGGTCAGACTTCTTGAGACAGATACTGTTAAATGACTATAGAAAACAAAGAGCCCTGAATTCTGTCATTCTTCTACACACTATTTACCTGCAGACGGCCTTGAGAATGCTCTCATCTTTATGTTCAAGACAACTGAGGAACTCAAAGGGAATTACTTGAAAATTCACAAGGAGCTCTCATAAACTTTTGCCCAAAGCACCTACTGATCGTTAAGCACCAGAAACAGTCACACACGTATATACACATACAAAATTGAAAAATCTGTAAGTTTAAAATTTAAAAATCATACTTTCTTAGCTTCATTCCCCAGAAAACAAGTGGTATTTTACTTTTTCACAGCTGCCTCTACTTCGAAGACTGGACTATAAGATAATAAGCCACACCTGTTGTACTGTTTGGGTAACTCCGAGCACCAGCTGAGATAGTAATTAAAAGTAGCATTCCATTCTCAGCCTACCTGGGGTGTTCAACAACCTGGACATCTTGCAGAAGTAGGAGACATACTGCTCACAGTACTCAGCACTGCTGGTGATGGCGCTGATCTGGTCCATGGAGGCGCTGTAAATGAGCTGTGTCACCGAGTATTTGTCTGGGTTGTAGCCCACCACTGTCGTCTGCATCTGCAAATCGTGAGACACTATGGTCCACACTTTGTCCTCTGTGGGGAGAAAAATGCCATGACCATGGGTCATTAGTATGCAAATGCTTCTTCAAATGTCAGAAAATAATTGAGCTACACTTTCACTGATGTTTTCCCTGAACTGATGAGGAATAGAGTTAAGGATAGTAATCTTTAAAGTAACTCCGGCCCTTTCCTCACACCTAAGTTCTGCTCATATTGACAAAGTAGAAAAGTAATATTTTTTATTAAAAACATACATAAGATACATCCTGAAAACAAACAGCCTGAGTATCTGGTTGATGCTATAACGTCCACAGCATTGAATGTGAGGCCCATGATATTTCCATTCTTTCCTGGCTCTGTAACCCATCACTCCCCCGGTAGAACAGGATTTGCTCTTTCCTGAATGAACTACGCTCTCTCACACCTCTGGATCTTTGTACATGCTGTTTGCTCCAGTCAGAATATGCATCCTTATCTTGTCAACAAATGTTCTTTTCACCCTGACCTTTCAGGTAAAATTAGACACTGCATTCTCTGTTATTGAAATGCTCTCTACATGTGGGATAATGCAAATGCGGAATTATCTTGGTGTTTTGGACCCTGAAAATTTCAATGTGTGAAAAGAAGAAGCAGATATAAGAACGATGAGATTAAATTGAAACCCTATAAACTTCTCAATTTGAATTAAAACCATCACTATGAACCCATGATAACGTTATCTTTTTAAAAATGTAGACATATGTCCTAGCTCTGTCCACCGAAAAAGCCCACAAACAGGGACCAATCTCTAGCACCGGATTGTCATCACTCAATACCATTTTCCGTTAAGAGAAAACTGGGCTCGCTGGAGACATGACTGATTCCAGAGCTGGAAATGTACAGGATGAGCCTAGAACATATTGCCACGTCAGAAACAAACAAGCTACTGGAGACAGAGGGCAGTTCAAAAACCTCCAGGGCCAGAGAAGGATGATTTGAACATTGATAAGATTTGAACACTGATAACATGGAATAAAATACATCAAGTATATTTAATTCCATGAGTTCATTAAAATAAAAAGAAATGTTCGATTTTGGAAGGTGCTAGGTAACTAACTCGTTATTCTGAATATTGAGAAATAAAGGCAAAGAATCAAGTATTTAGCCTACCTTAACTACATGGACCGTAATGTAGCTAAATGCTGCCTTTGTGGAAATATTTCAGCTCACAAATGAATACTAAATAATAGAATTAGAGTATCGTCATTTTCTAACTTCTAACAAGTAGGATCTAAGCAATGATTATTCATGGCTGCTAACATAACCAAAAATGAAAGCAAAGGAACACACAACACTACATGTGAAGCAGTGTGGGCAAAAAGCAAACGGGAATTTCACCAAGCTTATAGTCCTCACCGCCAATTTCTAGGAATTCCAGGGGAGAAGAGGACATGTTAAATGGAACCAAAGGGAAACAATCAGCAAATCCATGCTGAGGGAAACTCTATAGATCGTACAGTCTAGTTTTTTCAACAGATACATTATAAATGACAAAGGAAGAAAGACTTCCTGAACTTGTCCCTCACAAAGTTTCCTTTTTTCAGTAAATGGCAACTCCATTCTGCCAGTTGCTCAGGACAAGAGCCTTGGAGTCACCATTACTTTCTCGCTTTCTTCTACACTCATCTTCCAAGCTGTCAGTGAATCCTGTCCGCTCTACCTTCAGTATTTATTCAGAATCTGAGCACTTCTCACCCCCACACCACCACTGCTCTGTCAAAGCCTCCACTGCCTCTCGCCTGCATCACCACAGTAACTTCTAACCAGTCCCCCACTTACCACCCTTGCACCCTCACACCCACCCTCCACACAGCAGCCAGGCTGAGCCGTTTCAAATATTAGCCAGATTCTGCTCCTCTGCTCAAAGCCCTTACGTGGTACCCTCGTGGTCTAGTTCAGAGTAAAAATCTAGTTCTTGACGTAGCCGAAGGCCCTCCATGATGCTGCCCCTCCTTGCGGCTAGCCATTCCCTCTAGCCCTACTAAACTCCCCGCACTCATTTGGCTCCAGCCACACCGACCTCCTGGCGTTCCCCAAACATGTCAGGATGTCAGGCGAGCCCCTCCTTGGAGCCTTTGCTCCTGCTGTTTCCTCTGGCTGGAGCCGTCTGTCCTGGGAAATCCTCAGGGTCCAGGCCTACTCCTCCTGCTCTGTGCTCCAAACCCAACTTTTCCTTTGCTGATTCCCACGCCCACCACAGCTGCTTCCTGTCTCCCGTCCTGCTTCGTTTTTCCTCATAGAACGTATCTCTATCTGACTTAGTGCATATTTTCTCTATTTTTTTTTTTTTTTTTTTGAGGAGGACTAGCCCTGAGCTAACATCTGATGCCAATCCTCTCCTTTTTTCTTGAGGAAGATTGGCCCTGGGCTAACATCCGTGCCATCTTCCTCTACTTTACATGGGACGCCGCCACAGCATGGCTTAGCAAGCAGTGCGTCAGTGAGCGCCGGGATCCGAACCTGCGAACCCCGGGCCGCCGCAGTGGAGCGCGCGCACTTAACCGTTTGTGCCACCGGGCTGGCCCCTTTCTCTATTTTTTAATGTCTGTCTCCCTATATTAGAAGGAAAGAAGGCAGGGACAGTTTCAACGCTGTAGGCACAGTGTTAGAACAGTAATTGGCACATGGTAGGCCGTCAAAAAATAGTAGTTGAATAGAAGAATAAATTAACAAAAATAAACAGAATACAAATACTTGACCCAGGAACTTTTTAACGTCACTTTGGTTCTCCTTCTGGCTCTGCTCTGACTATCCCGAGAGACTCTGGAGAAGCCACTGCAGGCCTTTGAGCCACAATTTCCCTTCATCTGTAGCAATGTGCCTCCACATTGGAATACTTTCCAGCTTGCTCTTCTTAAATCAGTTAAAACAAGTCCAGTTATGGTGGCCCCTGTAGTAATACATTTTCTATAGGATAATTATTTTTCCAGTTTTCCCTTTGGTCTGATCAGAACCACCTTCCTTTAGTTCTTCTGATATAGCAAAGAAGCTACAATATATTTTAGTAATTCTGTCACTTTCTGACACGATTCTGACAACAAACTGATCATTTATATCCAGACCTGCACATTTACCTTCACTTTATTAAAGATCCATTAATTAAATTAGGCTAATTTTATCTCTTTTCGTTACAATCAGCTTCTGGCATAGAATTCTCAAACGTTTGACACTACATACTTTCCTTTTTTTTTTAACAAATCCTTACCAGGACCTTGTCCTGTAGCAACATTCCAGAACACTCTTCAACTCATGATGGAATAGCATTCTAATCTGACCTTTCTTTAAAGGATCATAAACCCTTTTTGAATGTACACAAAATAATGTTCATAAAGGCAAACACTAATTTAAGCAAGTAAAAAAAATGGTCACCCATTATGGTCTCTGTCAATAACTTTAAAAACCTTAACCAATTTGTCAATGTTGATGAGTCTCTAATACTTTAGTCCTAGTGACTTCTTGGCCCTAAACTCTACTTCCACCCATCTCACCATACACATTTCAGTATCAAACCCCTGCGCACTATCATCTTTATATTTGTTGTATAGCCCACTCCTTCATTCAACAGATATTACTGAGTGCCTATTATATGACAGATACGGATCTAGGCACGAGAGAAACCACAGAGAAAAAAGCATTCACACATTTTTGCAGCTTACATTCTAGTGGGGAAAAAACAGATAATAAGTAAAAAATTAAAATAATACGTCTAATTGGCAAGAGACAATGGTGAGGAGAAAAACTACATCGGGGAAGGGAAGAATAGGATGTGTGAGGGGGACTGCATTTTTAAACACAGAGGAAATCATAACAGGCTTCACTGAGAGCGACATTTAAATAAGTAAGGTCATTATCCAGCAAGCCATGTGAATGTCTGGGGAAAAGTCTTCCAGACAGAGGGAATGCAAATGAAAATGTTCTAATTCTGGACTGTTCCTGGTATCATTCAGGTATACAAGGAGGCCAGTGAGTGAGGGGAGAATAGCGGGAGTTGAAGACAGAGATGTAATGGGGATGGGCAGGGGTGATGGAAAGCCGAGGGCACTGGAAGGTTTGGGGCAAGTTAAATAGTATGCTTTAACTTAGTCTTTGACAGACTGTTATTTGCTTCAATAAGATTATACTTCAGAAAGGTTTGAAAAAAGAAAAAATATATACCTTAAAAGATCTAAAACTTTTTACAATGTCATGGCATTATAAAAGGTAATATGTAAGCTCTATTTTGATGGCATTAAACAATTACTGTTGATGCATCTTGCAAATTATTTTTTAATGCTTGCATACTACACATTGCAATGTTTCCTTTGGAACCATTAAATCTTAGGTGACAAATGGATAGTAATGATTTTTCAGGTATCCAGCATCTAGAAGAAAGAAGGTTATGCTGTATAGATTTTCCTTTGCTAGTATTATAAATGAAAAAATGAAGAATCTTATTCCCATATTCACAGTGTGTTTTATATAATATGTATTATCAGATATGTGTGTAATGCAAATAGAAACTACTGTGTACGGCAAATTCTAAATTTCTGCAACTGTTCCACTTTCATGAAGAAGCAATTGATAAACTAGTCAAATACTCTTTGGAGTAGTGTGTTATGAAAATGTCCTTTGTGATTACTGGGAGCTTAGTATCTGTCTCATCATGCAATCACATAATTAAAAATTGTCACATTGTACACTGTGTCAAATATAGCCAATTTAATGATATGTTTCAAATACTGGAGCACATATGGAACATGTTGTGGAACACCTCCCTTTCCTTGGCAATAACGGGATCTTCAAGATTACCCAGCTTAGTTATGTCGACATGTACATTAGAAAGATCCCTCTGCTACCTATACCAGTGACCCCACATCCTTATCCTATTTATAATTCTCAAGTAATTCACTTCATGAGAACTCAATTCTTTGCATGGCTAGAGTTCTGACCAGGGACTGATAAAGCCAGGAAATACCCAGTGAAAAAAAGTAAAGAATAACTCTTTCCAGAATATA